AATGTGCTGTTATGAGCCTAGCCACAAACTACACATCTTGGAACTACAGTGGACTTCCGAGATCTAAGTTTATAAGAGTTGCCCCATATTACAAGGAAATGAAGGCTCTGGTTGACTTGGTCATACAGCTGGTGTAGCTACACCCAATACTCCCGTTTTCTCAATTTTACTATACCAAATTTGTCAGCTTCCATTAAACACACAGGCTAACCTTTGGAAAATTTCCACTGAACTTCAAATTTTAAACAGGCCCAGAAAATAACATGCCAATGTAATTAAAGCAAACACAAGTTCTTCCCGGGCTAAACTAGGAAGTTTATGTCCTGGTTACAAATTGTTAAAATTAACTGAACACTTCTATTTATCAAATAATATGCTAATTACATAAACAAGCAATTTCAAGGGAGAATTTGTAACAGATATTAAGCAGCTAAGAGACATTTTTCAATTATCTGCATTGTACTTTTTCTTTCTTAAAACCTAGACTTGTAATTACTCAAAACTACCTAGCACTTTGTGTAGTGACATCCCCAGACTTCAGTACATCAGAAGTCTTCCAAGTGCTTATTCAATGATACATACTTTTGGACCCTGTCCAGACCCGGTGAGTGAATCTCTGGTGATGAGGTCCTAGAGCAGACTTCAGTACATCAGAAGTCTTCCAAGTGCTTATTCAATGATACATACTTTTGGACCCTATCCAGACCCGGTGAGTGAATCTCTGGTGATGAGGTCCTAGAGCATACAGTTGACACACCCCACCAGGTAACACCAATGCACATTCAGTGAGAACCACTGACACTCCGGTCAACCAACCAGATTATATAAACATACCTGCTTATTCGATTAAACTTCCTGCACATTTTTCTCCTTTCAGAGATTTTCCTCTAAAAATAACTGGCCCAGTATGAGAAAGTGGACTTTTACTGTTTTCTTTCTGACATGTTTCCCCTTCTTCCGTGAACAGCTCTAAATTTTCACATGTGTATGGAACATATAACCCAAGGCAGCTACTACAGTCACAGGCAGTCAGCGAGAAATCGGTCTATAGACTGAGCCAGTCCAGTAAGGAGCTACCTCTGTTAGGCCTGAGGAGCGACAGGTTTGAGGTTGGAGCTGCCACCATGACTGCAGTCTAGAGCTGCCATATGCGTGAAGTCTAAAGTTCTGAATACAGTTCTATAGACCTCTCAGTTTTGGAGGTCAAAAGATTCCATTTTCAACATAAGCCAGCTGATGTATGGTTTCAGTAACTTGTTAAATAGTACTAAATAGAAGTAAACATTTTCCAGCACATAGTTGGAGAAAGTAGAAAGCCTAATATTCCCAACCATATGGCCTAGAGAATGGCTAAGAACTTGAAAGGCAGTTAGGCGTTAACTTCTCAGCAGTATGACGCTCATTTCTAGTTTCCTCTTCCAGCACTCACCACCACCATTTGGCCTCCTAATGGTTGTGTCAAATACAGTTATGTGTCACTTAAGGACCGGGATACATTCTGAGAAATGTGTCATTAGGCAATTTTGTTGTACAAACATGTGTACTTATCTACATGTCATAGCGTACTACACACATAGCTATATGGTATAGCCTAGGCTACCAACCTGTACATGTCACTACTGAATACTGCAGGCAATTGTAACACAATGGTATTTCTGTATCTAAGCATATCTAAACATAGGGTACAGTTAAAATATGGTATTATAATCTTTAAAAAAATTTTTTTTACATTCCTTAAGATGTTGTGGAGCAGCTGGTGGGGAGGGGGAGAGGGAAAGGGGGAAGGAAATAGGGTGGGAGGAGTTGGTCGAGGACCATGGCACTCCCTTCATTCTGGCCAGGGGAGACCAGGGGGCTTCCAGCGGTAGATTGGTGGGCGTTCTGGGCCGCTTGTGCATGCCAGGGGGGCGTGGCTAAGGCCCACGGCCCTCACCCGTCCCTGGATTGGGAGCCCAGGGGGTTTCTGGTCCTTTTAGGTTTTACAGGTGATCTTTGGTGGTGTCAGACCTTTACAGTTAACATCAGACTTTGATCTGTGGGTATTTTGTTTTTTCTTTCAGTTCTGTGTTGGACTATTGCCGTTCCCACCACTTAAACTCTGCACTAGAACTAATTTGTTCTTCTTTGCTTACTTCTAAAGTGGAGGAACTTCCTGTGGGGACCAGCACTTGAGCTCTGTGGCTGAGCTAAATTGCTGATTTGCTGCTGATTCTCTGGGAAAGGCTTTTTGTGCAGCTCAGGTTTAATGGTTGACCTTGTATGTACTTCTGGGTCTTGTGAGGTCTGACACACCTGGGTTGTGTAGAAACTCTGGGTCTGAGCCTGAGTCTTTTCAGCAAATTGCACCCCCTGCAGTTCTATATTCCTGACCAGTCTACACAGTGGGCCTGTCCTGATTGGAGGGCAGATCAGCTGTCCATGCTGTGCTCCAGTGTTCCCCCAGTGGGCCCGTCTCCCCCACTGCCTGTGCTCCAAACACTTCCCATAGGTCAGGCTGTGCACCCGTCCCTTGCGATGACTCACTGGCATCTGAGTGATTCCTTTTTTTCAGTTGTCTGTGTCTCCTTGCTCCTACGTGGGTCCACGGAACCCTGTTAGTGGTCTTGCTGGCCTGGGGTCCACCAAGGCCCTCTTCTCCCGTCGCCTCCAAGCCACTTCATACGAAGGGCACAGCTGTGACTTTTGCCAGCTCTTGCTTTGTGCGCTCACCTGCTCCAGCTGTGAGGCAGGCAGGGCTTGAATGGTGGAAGGATCCTTTCTCTCTCTCATTGTGGCTTCTCCTGCCTTGAACTCCGCAGGTCTCCCTCTTTCCCTGGGCTCTAAATTCACGTCCTAGGCAGGATGGCACAAGATTTCATCACACTACTCTCAGAATGGTGTGCAATTGAAGGGCTGGCCCCGTGGCTCACTCGGGTGAGTGCGGTGCTTTTAGTGCCGAGGCCGCGGGTTCGGATCCTATATAGGGATGGCCAGTGCACTCACTGGCTGAGGGTGATGCGAACGGCACCAAGCCGAGGGTTGCAATCCCCTTACCGGTCAAAAAAAAAAGAATGGTGTGCAATTGAAAACTTATGAGTCATTTATTTCTGAAATTTTCCATTTAATATTTTCAGACCACATTTGACTGGCTAACTGGAAGGCAGAAAACAAAACCATAGAAAGTGAAATTGCAGATGAGCGGGGACTAAATCACAGATAAAATCATAGTACACTACATGGCTCAGCAATATATAGCATTTGATCTAACCACACAGGATCTCTATACTAGGAGGATAGAGGGAAATGTTACCTGTGTGAAAGATATCTAAACTTTCCAATTCTACATTGGAAAAAAAAAAAAGTCCTGATTAAAATGGTTAATATGTGTCACAAAACAGGAAAAATTTTGCTACATATACTAACAAAGTACTAATATCCAGAATACATAAAACTCTTACAAATAAGCAAAAGCCAAACAACCAAACAGATAAATAGCCAAAAAAACTTTTAAAAGAATTCACACATTAAAAATGAAATCAAACAGAATCCAAATATGAAAACTCTCATACAATTGTGGGTAGGATGTGAATTGGCATGATCCACCAGGAAAAGTCTATATTATCTTCTAAAGTATAACATATACTCGTACACACCTTTTAATTCAGCAATCCCACTGTAGGGTACATACTCTAGAAAAACACGTATACATGGCCCAAGATACATATAAAAGAATGTACACAGCAGCATTTCCTAATAACTTAAAACTCTAACATCCATCGTAATAACTTCGTATAGCATACATTATACGAAGTTATACGAGTTATGAGTTAAAACTAGAACAAAAAGTATTTCATAATTTTTTATTGATGGCATTTCTCCCATGGTTTAACATGTTAATTATACTGTAATAAACATGGCTTTAATATTAAACTTTTCCTTATTATCCAAAGTCACCACAGTCCATTTCAGTAAATATAAAAATATATGCTTAATACTTTGTACAATACTGGTTTTTGGTCCAAACAAAACTGGATCAGAAAAGCCAATAAATTCAACTTTAAGAATCCCCAATTTTTTTTTAAAGATTTCCAAATGGATTTAGGCAACTTTGAATAATGGGATTTACATAATAAAATCTGAGACAAGACTAAACAAACAACAAAAAAAATTTCTAACACAAATTTAAAATTTCAAGTTCACAGATTTATGTTATGCCAAAAAAGTACAGAAACAAAATTGTATTTACACAAGTTTCATAATAAAATAATGAAAAAGGCAAGACAGGTGATAGAAGAATGAAAATATAGAAACAGCATATAATTATTAAATGGAGAACGAACTAGATCTAACAAGTCCTTAGCACGGACCATTCTTTAATCAGGCTTCCTCTATCAGAAAATTTTAGTGCACAAGACACCCAACTCACTCACTTCACACATACACCAGCACAAACTCGGCATAGAAGTCATTCATTTCAACATCCTCTAATCTATACAGAATTCTAATCTATACAGAATTCCTCAGATATAATTACAATTACAACGCGTTCCATAAACGTTTATCAACACACACAGTGGTGCAGATGAAGAGGTTCTACACAAAGCCATTCGCCATGTGGGCTTTATTCCTGGGTACAGCCAGACTATGCCAATCAGTGAACAATATGCTGGATCAAAATATTTTTGCTGAAGAATCAGTCATCAGTCTGGCTATTATTTTTTTAAAAGGTGGTGGGAGAGGTGGGGGTGGGGCTTCTGTAAAGAAAGAGAAAGGAGAAAAATTCCAAAATTAAAGAAGTCCTTAGGCAGATCTGATTTCAGATAACTCCAGCACGTAGTACAACTCGGTATATGAAAGCAGGGCACCAGCTGTTGTTAAAACGGTTGTGTGTAACACCATTGTGTTTATTTATTCTTGCGTCTAACAGCAGTCTTAATCTTGCGACCAGAAACTGAAGTTCCAGAAGAAGAGAAGGTATTTTTCCCATTTGACCTGTGAAAATTAAAAACACAACATGACATGATAGAGCAAAAGTTCAGAATCACAGCAACATTTAACATGACCAGCATCAAGGGGGGAAGAAAGAGGCACCATTAAAGCAAACCATTTTCTACTGCACGTAAGACACACACGTTACTGCTATTTTCTCAGGCTACAGTATAATCCTCCAAAATTGTAATATGGTAAATTGATGTTGGGGAACATATTTAACTTTACCTCAACTACACTGCATCTTGATGACTTTAAAAACAAAACACATACATGCACACACTCTTACCAATGTAAATTCTCCATTTCAACAAAAAGTTCTCTTACCCCATTGTAAATGCTGCTGGAGACTGGTTAAATGGAAAGCCCCCTGAGCCTGAAGGCTGGGCTGAGGCTGCAGGTGTGGAAGGATTTGCACCAAACGTGAACACTCTTGATGGATTGTCTGTGAAGTTAAAATTTGTAGTGCTGCTGCCAAATTGGAAAACCAAACCTACGAAGTTGAAGCAGAAGAACTTCATTAAGGCAAAAATGACAGTTTTTTTTTTTAGTAATGACTCTGACTTCTACATATAAAAACATATAAAAGATTAAGATCTCTTATGGTCACTTAGTCTAAAAAAAACTAAAATATTTTCTCCTCTGGCACACAATACATACTTGACACCTCCAACAAGTGACACGACTTACCCATGACCAAGGAAAAAAGGGTAGATGGACTTCTGGTTAAAGACAGTAAAATCGACAAACTTGAAAAGTACACTACTAAAAAGATTTTTACAAAGATGGAGGCAGAGGAGACAACAGCAACAAAAGTTTAGAGGCTAGAAGGCTGACTGGAGCTGAATACTAAAGTAGCAGCAGGAAAAGCACAGAAACAATTCCATTTACACTAAATGTACCCAAAAGGTTCCAGGCACCTCTAGAAGTGAGAATGAAGGACTGGGGAAGGAAAAAAAAAAAAAAGAGGAAGGATGGTAGAGAATATCTGTTTAAGCAGCAGATAATTAGATTAATCTCTTGCCAACATCAAACAAGACGGTAATTCTCCTCTTCCACCCCAGCAGAAGGAAGTTTAGTCTCCGGACAGTTCTCTGGTCTAGAAGACACCACGCACAGTTAAGGTCAAGAACATCATATTAAATATGGGGAGATTAACAGTAGGTTGTTTTAAGGAATACTAAGAACTCCAGCCATTCTTCCTTACTCAGCTCCTAGAACTGGCAAGCAGGAGTTCCCTGATACTCTCCATGCAGGAGTCTGGAAATATCTTCTTCGGGGAATCTGACAGACAAAGAGGAAAAAGCTAAAAATACTAACATCCAGGTTTTCCCAGATAAAGTAAAACTAGATAAACCAGATAAACCTACAATGAAATTGAAGATCTCTAAGCCCTATCAATGTGCAAAGGATTTCCAAGTGTTCCACACTCATAAAACTTTGAGTACATAGTCAAGGAGCATCAGACATTTGAGGACAATGTTAATAAGAAACAATGAGACCAAAACAGTAATAGCAATTTGGAGAAAACTGACTGAGCATGGTAGCAAAACTTTAAGGGAAAGAAAACCCAAACAACTCATCATTAATATCCTCAAGAGATCAACAAACAACACTACATCCATGAAACAAAACCAGACGGATATAAAAAGAAAACATTCTGAAAACAAAAAAAGAACACTTGGAAATTAAAAGATCATAAGAGTGAAAGTAAAATCTCAACAGAAGGGGCAGTAAAAGATAAAGAAATTTCCTCAGAAAGTTCAACAAAAAAGACACAAGGTGGAAAAAGGAGAATAGAGAAGAAAAGAATGAGGGGTAAAATCTTCAAGAAATAATTCAGGAAAATTTCCAAGAACTGAAGTTCACAAAAGAGCTTGCTGCATTGCCTAAACAATCAATGGATAAAAATGGATCCATACCAAGGCATGTCCTGACATGTCAGAACACAGAAGGCAAAAGAAAAGACTCTCACTAGATTCCAGAAAGAAGAAATAGGTCAAAAGGCAAGTTATCAAGAAAGACTTCCAGTGCAACTCTAGAAACCTCAAAGTCCACAATAGAGAAATAGCTTCAAAATTAAGAAAATAATTTCCAACCTAAATCTAATATCAACTAAAATCTTACCAAACATAGGGACAGTATAAAGATCCTTCCAGAAAGCAAGGCCTCAAAATGTTCTTCCCTAAAGCCCTTAATGAAATCACTGGAGATGTGCTCTATTGAAAACAAGGGAGTAAGAAGGAAAAAGACATGATACCCAAGAAACAGAGGTCCCTATAAGAAGCTGAACGGAATCTCCAAGATAATGGTAAAAAGAGATCCCCCCAAGACAGTTTAACAGCAGGACTAGGAAGCCTGATGGGAGGAAAAGTCTGAAAGACCCTGTGAGAAAGTTCTTTCAGATACTGAAAAACCACCAATGTGTTTAAACATACTGAGAAGAAGTGTTTGCAGCCGCCGCCGCGCCGCCATGGCTCTAAGGCCAGCGCCGCCTCCCGCTCGCTCGCCGAGCTCCAGCCCGAGGGGCAGGGGGTAAGTAAGGAGGTCTCTATACCACGGCTCGTGCGCATCAGACTGCCTGCAAATCGACCGGTGCTAAAGCACCCAGGAAACAACTGGCTACAAAAGCCGCTCGCAAGAGTGCGCCCTCTACCGGAGGGGTGAAGAAACCTCATCGTTACAGGCTTGGTACCGTGGCACTCCTCCAAGATAATGGTAAAAAGAGATCCCCCCAAGACAGTTTAACAGCAGGACTAGGAAGCCTGGTGGGAGGAAAAGTCTGAAAGACCCTGTGAGAAAGTTCTTTCAGATACTGAAAAACCACCAATGTGTTTAAACATACTGAGAAGAGGTGTTTGCAGCCGCCGCCCCGCCGCCATGGCTCTAAGGCCAGCGCCGCCTCCCGCTCGCCGAGCTCCAGCCCGAGGGGCAGGGGGTAAGTAAGGAGGTCTCTATACCACGGCTCGTGCGCATCAGACTGCCTGCAAATCGACCGGTGCTAAAGCACCCAGGAAACAACTGGCTACAAAAGCCGCTCGCAAGAGTGCGCCCTCTACCAGAGGGGTGAAGAAACCTCATCGTTACAGGCTTGGTACCGTGGCACTCCGTGAAATTAAACGTTATCAGAACTTCTGATTCGCAAACTCTCCTTCCAGCGTCTGGTGCGAGAAATTACTCAGGACTTCAAAACAGATCTGTGCTTCCAGAGCGCAGCTATCGGAGCTTTGCAGGAGGCAAGTGAGGCCTATTTGGTTGTCCTTTTCAAAAACACCAATGTGTGTGCTCTCCATGCCAAACGTGTAACAATTATGCCAAAAGACATCCAGCTAGCACTCCACATACGTGGAGAACGTGCATAAGAATCCACTATGATGGGATACATTTAATGTTTTAAAAAAAAAAATTCTCTTCTTCCTGTTACTGGTAGTTCTGAATGTTAGATATTTTCTTCCATGGAGTCAAAAGGTACCTAAGTATATGGTTGCAAGTGGAAAATAGGGGACAGAAATCAGGTATTGGCAGTTTTTCCATTTTCATTTGTGTGTGAATTTTTAATATAAATGCGGGGACGTAAAGCATCAATGCAAGTCAAAATGTTTCAGTGAACAAGAGTCAGCAGTTCAACTTTATAACAATTATAAATAAACCTGTTAAATTTTTCTGGGCAATGCCAGCATTTGGATTCTTTTTAAAACAAGTAAATTTCTTATTGACAGCAACTAAATGATGTTTGTAGCATTTTTATCATACAGTAGATTCCTTTTATACTTTTCTGAGTTGTCCTACACGCAAGTACATGTTTTTAGTGTTATCTGTCTTCTGTGCTGTTCCTGTAAGTTTGCTATTAAAATACATTAATTAAAAAAAAATGCTGAGAAGAGATTTAAACAACTGACAGAAGAGTTAAAATTTTAACTAGTGATAAGCACAAAGAAAATGTTAACAATGAGAGGGAGTCGTTGATTGTTAGAGAAAACAAAATTTTGTACAGTAGTCCCCCGTTATCAACAGGTGATACATTCCAAGACCCTTTAGTGCATCCCTGAAACAGCACATAGTACTGAACCCCATATATACTATGTTTTTTTCCTATAAATACATCTCTTGCAGTAAATGGCTTGGCACAATTCATTTCAGGGGATCCCTTGTTGAAGTCTTCACACAGGCTCAATGTTTTCTGGTGCAACAAAATGCCACCAATTGGAACACATTTCGGTTCATGTCTTCAACCAACAAATTTAATGCCTCTTCCACCTTAACTAAGTACTTATCACACACCATGGCAGCAACTTTTGCACTTTGAGGTAAACAGCAAAACTAGCACAAATTTCTTTGTCCTTCTTCACAATTTCATAGATAGAAGATTTATTCTTGCCATAGATGTTAGTAATCTCAGTATACATATGATTTGTTTTCTTTCCTTATTAAGTCAAGAACTTTCACCTTTCCTCTTAAAGGAAGCACTTTATGGCTTCTCTTTGGCATATCTGAATTGCCAGCATCACTACTCTTGCACTTTGAGGCCATTATTAAATAAAATAAGGGTGATTTGAACACAAGCATTGTAACGCCATGACAGTCAGTCTTATAACCAAGTTGGCTACTATGTGACTAACAGGCAGGGAGTGTCTACAGCATGGGTATGCTGGACAAAGGGATGATTCACGTCCTAGGCAGGATGGCACAAGATTTCATCACACTACTCTCAGAATGGTGTGCAATTGAAGGGCTGGCCCCGTGGCTCACTCGGGTGAGTGCGGTGCTTTTAGTGCCGAGGCCGCGGGTTCGGATCCTATATAGGGATGGCCAGTGCACTCACTGGCTGAGGGTGATGCGAACGGCACCAAGCCGAGGGTTGCAATCCCCTTACCGGTCAAAAAAAAAAGAATGGTGTGCAATTGAAAACTTATGAGTCATTTATTTCTGAAATTTTCCATTTAATATTTTCAGACCACATTTGACTGGCTAACTGGAAGGCAGAAAACAAAACCATAGAAAGTGAAATTGCAGATGAGCGGGGACTAAATCACAGATAAAATCATAGTACACTACATGGCTCAGCAATATATAGCATTTGATCTAACCACACAGGATCTCTATACTAGGAGGATAGAGGGAAATGTTACCTGTGTGAAAGATATCTAAACTTTCCAATTCTACATTGGAAAAAAAAAAAAGTCCTGATTAAAATGGTTAATATGTGTCACAAAACAGGAAAAATTTTGCTACATATACTAACAAAGTACTAATATCCAGAATACATAAAACTCTTACAAATAAGCAAAAGCCAAACAACCAAACAGATAAATAGCCAAAAAAACTTTTAAAAGAATTCACACATTAAAAATGAAATCAAACAGAATCCAAATATGAAAACTCTCATACAATTGTGGGTAGGATGTGAATTGGCATGATCCACCAGGAAAAGTCTATATTATCTTCTAAAGTATAACATATACTCGTACACACCTTTTAATTCAGCAATCCCACTGTAGGGTACATACTCTAGAAAAACACGTATACATGGCCCAAGATACATATACAAGAATGTACACAGCAGCATTTCCTAATAACTTAAAACTCTAACATCCATCAACAGTAAATGGATAAACTATGGTATATTCATACAGTAATTTACAGCAATGACAACAAACAAACTATATTCAATAACATGGACGAACCTTACAAACCTAAGGTAGAGTGAAAGAAGAATCAAAAGACTGTATGCAGTAAGATTCCATTTATACAGATAAAAATCAGGCAAAACTTTATTTTCTAGAGATAAATGTAGTTAAACTTTAAATAGAACCCAAACAACAGTGATTTACCAGAAGACACAAAACAGTGTTTACCCTTAGAGTGAAAAGAGGAGAGGAATGTAATTTAAAAGATACGTGAAGGCTTCCAGGTCGTGATTACAGAAATATTTGCTTCAACATTACACTGTCCATTTATGTTTTATGCAGTTTTCCTTTTTTTTTTTTAAAGATGACTGGTAAGGGGATCTTAACCCTTGACTTGGTGTTGTCAGCACCACGCTCTCCCAGTGAGCAAACCGGCCATCCCTATATGGGATCCGAACCCGTGGCCTTGGTGTTATCAGCACCGCACTCTCCCGAGTGAGCCACAGGCCGGCCCATTATGCAGTTTTCTATATGAGGTTATATTTCACAACTAGAAAAATGTCAAACAGTGCAATTTTGAGGAAATATATCATTACAATGTAGCATAATTTGTTTTGTTTTGGTTTTTTTTGTGGCTGGCCAGTTTGGGGATCTGGACCCATGACCTTGGTGTTATAAGGCTGCTCTCTAACCAACTGAGCTAACTGGCCAGTCCTGATTTGTCATATTAAAAAAGTCAAGGGGGGCTGGCCAGTTAGCTCAGTTGGTTAGAGAGCAGCCTTATAACACCAAGGTCATGGGTCCAGATCCCCAAACCTGCCAGCTGCGAAAAAAAAAAAAAAAGTCATGGGACTTTTGTTTAAATATGCAAGTCAAGTGGAAAGACTAGTATCATTACCAAATAGAAAGTGTCATTAGACAATTCAGGTGAACTGTCCCAGGAAAGAGTACTGGAACTGGGTTTTTAACTCCCTGAAGTAAATACAATCATAAAGAGGATCAGAAAATATAGTTCAAGTCCAGGCTAGAAAGCCCCAAAATTCAGACTGGAGGAGAAATGGGACTGAATGAATTCCATACCTAAGCCAAACAGTAAGAAATAATTTAGGGGCCAGCCCGGTGGTGCACTGGATAGTGCGCCGCTTGGGAAGCGCGGCGCTCCCGCCCGAGGGTTCGGATCCCACATACGGACCGGTTCCCGCTCACTGGCTGAGCGAGGCGCGGGAGCAACACCGAGGGTTGCGATCCCGTTGCCGGTCCCCGGTCCGGTGCAGGGGCAACACTGAGGGTTGCGATCCGTTGCCGGACACGGAAAAAAGATAAAAGACAACAACAACAACAAAAAAAAGAAATAATTTAAAATATACTGTAAATAATACTGTAATTGCATGAAGCTGGGATGTTTATAGATAAAT